CACGATTACTCGTAGTGCGGGGTCTCGCTGCTCTTGGTCTGGCTGCTCCCCTTTGGCCTTCCTGGCATGGTTAGACCTTGTGGAACGAAGTTCCAGCCAGTGTAGCCCGCGGGATCATTGCAGCACTCAAGCCCGACCACCACGTCAGGCAGCCAGCCTTAGGTCAGGACTGGCCAGAAATGGACGATGATCTGCACACAACTGGAAGAACAGCTCCCCGTTAGCCGTACGCTAATGACCCCAACCACGTCAAGGTGGCAGCCTTAGGTCAGGACTGGCCAGAAATGGACGATGATCTGCACACAACTGGAAGAACAGCTCCCCGTTAGCCGTACGCTCAGCAATGACCCCAAATCTACCACCTAACTGTGCTTCTTCCAGACTTAGTCATCCAAACTTGGGCATTCATATCACCCAGGAGAGTTTCTGTATCCGACTGAAGTATTCATGACAGATCTTGATGGAACTCGTCCTTCTCAGTCTCAGAACTGCTGTCTGTCGGGGCATATGCTGGTACGACAAACAAACAGCGTTTACCGCATCGACCCGCGGCAATCTTAATCGAGTCAGACAACCGTACAGCGCAAAGGCGACCGTTTACTGGGATCCAGTCCAGTAAGCCGCTTTCAGCCTTGGGGCTGAAAGCAACTCTCACGTCGCAGATACTACGACCCATCACGCCACGACCACCAGATACCCGAAGGGTGAAATGTGGAACATCCGAGCTTGTCCTAAACGGCTTGACGAGAACGACCGAAGCGGGGTCCTGTATACGTGTTTCGGAGACACAGAATATACCGATAGAGAGGGGAAAAAAGGGTTCAGCAAGAAATGCCTGTTGCCCAATTTGACAGAGTACAGACACTGAAGGTTGTAACGTGGATCAGATCTTTTGAGGTCATTTTGGTTTTATTTTCTGGACAACGGTTGAGACGCGGAACAGTGGCTGGGGGATTGGCAGATGGTGGATTGCACTGCACGAAGAGACTGGTCCGTCATGAACAGACTGGACCTTAACTTAGTGTGACGGATTGCGCACCTCAGCGACCTATTCAGCTATACTGGAGGGTGTCCCCGCGACAATCATAGTCTTTCATACCAGGTTAATCAATGGTTAGAGGTCTGACAAAGTCTCCTGGTCCTCCATGTTGGGGGTTGGAACCCGTGGCGACTTGTCCCGCAGAAATGGTAATGCATTTACATTTCCCGCCAAACACCGCTGCCTCGCAGTTAAGCTTTAGAGCCAAAGGCTTTGGTCGACGACCCTAATCGTCCTCCTGTCTAGGTGTGGGGGCCCTGACAGTATCCCAGCCCATGTACAACCATGAACTTCACATATACAAATAAACTTCAACCACATCGGCCGTCGCGTGGTGCCATCAGCCGGGTCGCCTTACTCGCTGAATACAGCAGGGTTGGTAAGCGAAAACAGTCTACTACTGACGTCTCCCTTCTTTTTCTTTCACACACTTTTTTTCTTCCTCTCCCCACCCCATTATTAACTCTCTCCTTGTGAGCCCAGCACCTAGGACCGATGACTCCGCTCGTCTTGCATCGGTCTTGCGTGCAGCATCTGCTGATCACATGGCACCGACACCCTCAGGCGCCTCAAAATCAATCTTCAAGCCTAAACACCCAATCTGCCTGACCGCCTTCAATGTACGCACGCTGAAGTATGTAGGATAACAAGCTGCTCCTGCTCTCACACTTGACTCGCTTGGCATTGATGTGTGCAGTGCCTCAGAAACAACATGCAACCACAGTGATTGAGTTAACCGCCCCATCAGTCCCTACTCGCTTCCGGCTGCGCACCTCTGGTGATCCAGAGGCTGCTGCGATGGGATGTACAGGGGTTGGTATTGTGCTAAGTCACCGGGCGGAAGTATCCTTACTTGACTGGTTACCTGTTGATAGTCGCCTCTATGCGGTTCGTCTGGCAACGTCTGTGAAGGAGTCTCACAAGCGGCAAGTTGATAGATGTCTGTTTATCGTGTCTGCCTATGCCCCAACTGATTGTAGCTCTGACACCGTCAAAGACGGGTTTTACGACGC